GGTGGTGACAGATAGAGCAGTCCCACCAAGAGACACTCAGCTGAAACAGTCATGGATCTGCAGGGGAGTCAGCCAAGCGGCCGCAGATAATCCTGGGGACAGGTATAAGCAGAGCCCTTATGTTCCCAGGTGATGGTCTCCTCCTGGGGACCTTCTGCTTCTCGGGCCACCACTGCCGAGTCCCACCTCTCCCTGCTGGGTAGGTCTGGAAGACAAATCTGGGGCACTTGCTGGGGGGAGGAAGGGAAGGCTGGGCCGAGGAGCTTCATGAGGTTCAAGTTTGCCCACGGACGCTTGGAGAGGCTGGCGCCTGACCCACTTTGAGGGGAGCACAGAGAACGGGCGTGATGTGTGCCGCGCTGCTCTGAATACACAATCAGAGGAAGGAGCCCTGTGGGTCCTCGCCAGCCCAGACCGAGGAAGGCTGCCGTGCTCCAGAGCAGTCTTTATTAGAAAGAATCGGGTTTTTAATAACACCAAATGGGGCACCCCGAGCTGAGCCAGCTGTGTGTGTCCCCAGCTGGGAGGTGTGTGCTGCAGAAGCTGGTAACAGGGGTGAAGTAATGACGCGGTTTCAGCCCCTCCTGTCGAAGGGCTCCCTGTGAGGCAGCCCAGGTGGGGGCAGTCTACAGTTGTTTGCTTAGTGGTCTGAGGCTCAGGCTCTGTGGCCACAGCTACGGGGCCTGTGTCTCTCCTGAGTGTCCCCGGCCTATTGACCACTTACAGAATGAGAACCGGGAACTAAAGAGGAAGCCCCAGGCTGTTCTGCGAGATGCACCTGCTTCTCATTTCCCTTTGGCTCAAGCTTCCTGGAAGGTGGTGAGGGTAGAGGCTGCTGGGGGTGCCGGGTGCCCTGGGGACCAGCCCTGGGAGGTGGGGCAGAGAGAAGGCTGACAGAGCCAACTGGCGATGCTTCAAGATCTCACTGCCAGAGCCATAGCTCCTTCTGGAGGTGGCCTGGGCCACCTCCCTCGCAAACGTCCCTGATCTCACGGCCAGCCCCAAGGGGGGCTCCTGCTGAGGCCACCCCCAGGATGTACCGGCCAACAGAGATGATGACGGCGGGGCTGCATATTGTGGCTACTACCTGAATGCTGACCCAGGGCCGGGTACAGTGCTAACAGCCCTTGCCATACGGCCTCGGATCCCATTTTAACTTCAGGGCTGCTCTGTGGTGAGGAGTCTTGCCTTGGCTGCTGCCGGATAAGGAACCTGGCTGAGGCAGGCTCAGCCGCTGGTGAACACTGAGACCACGTGGAAGAGAACACTGGGAGGAGGCGCCAGAACCAAAAGCCCTGGGCTCAGGAGCCTGCCACTAGCCCAGGGATGAGTGACAGGACAGAAAGGACGGCTGCTCAGGAAGTCTGCTAAAGCCTCAACAATGGTCTCACCTGCCGACGGCACCTGGAACCCACCGTGTACTTGTCAACTCAGAGGCACCTGGTGTCTGGGTCTCCCAAGCTGACCAGCCTGGTCTGCCCAGAATTTATTTGGGGACCAAGAGAGATACATTAACACTGGCACTTGTCATACACGTTTCGACAGTTTCCTGGACAGGTGGCTATTTGCAAAGGCCCATTCTGGCAGCATGAGGCGCTAATAACCGAAGGAGCGCACCGAGGTGGCCACGAGCACCAACCTAAAGGCTGCTTGGCGAGTCCCGAGCTCCGGGGCCCTGCTCGGGGAGGGGCTCCTGCAGCCTTCCCCAGCCTCATTTCAACAGATGGCAGAACAAATTCCTAATTAAGCACAAGAAAGTTTCCGGCTCAGCACATTTATTTATGATTTTCCGGTCCCTTTGGTGCTCATTCTTCCCTTTTGTCTTCCTAGAACCCAAGTCGGCTTATTGCCACCCTGCGCTCCCGCTCGGCTCTCTTGGACAGTCTGGGCCCTAATCTGGGGAGAAGGAAGGGGTAGGGTGTGCGGGAGTGTGGGAAAGGAGGGAGGGTCAGGGGGGGACACGGCCACACAGCTGCTTCTCAGAAGCAAGATGAAAAGGAGTTTGTTGCAAATTGACAACTTGGCGCAGACTTGAGAGGACAAACGGGCTTTGGTGCTCGCTGCTTTGGAAGGTTCTAGAAGAACCTCTCTGGGGAGAGACCTCCCTCGCAAACGTACTGTGGGCAGACCCTGGTCCTTCCTGCAGCAGGGCTGCTTGTTGGCTGGTGCTTGGCAGCTCCCTGGGACTCCTCCATCCCTGTCCCCTGGCACCGTCCTTGGCTCCCAGTGCTGTGTAGCTGCTCAGGCTACGTGGGGCCAGGATGAGGGAAATCCCTCCCACCAGACCCACGGAGGAAACGGCCCAGGTGGCTCTGATGCCCCTGGCTGGGACTAAACCCTGGGCTTACCTACAGTCCAGAGTTTATTCAACTGGGCATTTTTTCTTTTGCTTCAGAGGGCTTTGTGTCACAGAGAGGTTAGCTTTCCAAGGGCAGGGTCTGAACCTGTCTGGGAGAAGAATGACTACAGCTGCATGGTCACCCAGAACACTCTGGAGAACTGGTGTGTGGAGAGGCCAGTGTCATTTGATTCTCTCTCAGACCGAAGGGAGAAATGAGGCAGACGACTTGCAGTGACAACAGTGTCACCATGTGAAAACATGAGCGTGGGTGACCTTCACGTGCTGTTCTCTCCTCAGGCCCTTGCTGCTGTCACCCCTCCCAAGGCCACTGCCACCTCGCTCTGCTGCACTGCAAGGGGCCACCTCGCAATTCCTAAGAGCCTCAGGGAGGTAGACACAGTCCACACTGCAGTCCCCGGGGCTAACTAGCCTTGCTGGCCTGCACAAGGGGACTCTGGTTGGGAAAAGGGGAGGCAATATGGGGTCACAAGGGAGCAGGATGGTACTACTCTGAGAGGAGAGGGGGCAAGGGGTGCTCTGAGATGCTCTTGAGGCCCCCGGGGGCCTGCCCACTGGAAGCTCAGTGCCTTCTCTGCAGGTGGAAGCTGAGTCTGGGGGCATCTCCTACCCTGTCCTGAGACAATCACTCTTTATTCACCACCAGCCTCCTCCCCCCCCTTAACAATCTCCCCCTTTTAATGAATGTACTGCTCACCCAACGCGAGGACTCGGTCACGCTCCACCTCAACAAGCTCAGGGATTCACAGAAACTATTAACCGTCATGATCTGGGCACCCCTCTCGTGGGCTGACGAGGGGATCCATCATGCCTGCTAACGCACAGGAGCCCTCCACCTCTCCCCACCCTGCTCCTGCCCTCCCCGTGAGGACTTCTGATGTGGCAGGTCAAGGACAGCTGTCCCGAGTGGGGGAGGGGCAAGGCTCTCAGGACTGTGGGGACTGGCTGTTGGGAGCAGAGGAATAGTGACAAGAGGGGGGCCAGGAGGAGACGAGGGAGCGTATTTTTCTCTGAGTGCTGCTTTACTGAGAAAACTTTTCCTTCTGAAGGTCACAAGGGCTTTCACCTACTTTTTATAAGCAGACTTATAAGGAGAAGGATGGACAGCAGGGATTGTGAGCCCTGCTGATCCCAACCTGGGAATGTAAGTCATCCTGGCACCCAAAGGGGCTCCACTGCAGCACCTTTTCTGTTGATGTCAGTGTGATCTTCGTGTTCTAAGTAATGAGTTCTCGTTTTTTCCCAGGTGGTCGTATTACTTTAACCTGGGGCTTTGATACATGTGAATAAAATTTGCAAACAGCACCGCGTAGGTGCATATAGGATTGGACCAGCTGAGTGGGGTAGACCAGGAATCCTGCTCCATCCGGGCATTGGACAAATGACCTCCTGCTCCCTCCACTTGGCTGGGTGAGGAAGGACAGGTTTATCATGTTACAGAGGCCCCAAAAGCTAACTAAGCAGATGACTCAGTCTTGCTCTTAATTCCTTGCAAGGAAGGACCAAGGTGGAAAGAAGTCACAGGCTGCCAAGTCGGGCTCAAGACAAGACAGGACTTCCAGTGCCAACAACATCCCTTCAGAGCGGAGCAGGGGCCACCCCGTGCGCGTGCCCGTGGAGCCTGCCCTTGTGGGGTGAGGACTACACTGGATGGCCGCCATGGTCCCTCCCGACTGAAGATGCCAGGAACCCCGTGATGCAGCGGCTCCTTATACTGGGCTTCTGTAATCCTGAGCAGGATGTGCCAGAAAAGCCGGAAATCATTTTTATCAGAAGCTGTGCTCGTCATGATCTAGTGCTGAGTGCTGGTGTGGAGGAGCAAGGTGCGCGCTGAATCCTGATGAGGGGCAATGATGGGGCAGATGCAAAGGCAAAGGGAGGTAGAGAAGAGGGCCAGGAGGGAGGCGTCCCAACCCCGGGCTCCTCAGGAACCTCTGTGCTGGGGCCGGCGAGGGGCTGGAAACTGGGCAGACTCCCTCTGCCAGCCTCTCAACCAGAACAGCAATGGTATTCTTTGCTTTTAGACCCAAACACGGAATACAAATGATCCCAGAGCATGTGCTGGCCAATAGGGACCCCGTACCCTCCTGTCCTGGGCCTAGGGGTCTCAGCAGCCGGAACCTTCTGGGACAGTGCGGCAGAATGAATGGGCTCCCTACCACAAACCTGCTTTAGGCGGAGAGACCCCCCCAAACACCCCTGAGGATGACGGTGCTCTGGCTCAGTAGGGCATCAGGCAGTCAGAAGGCATTGTGGAGAGGGTGTCTCTTCATGCCCCACCGGCCAGGAACGCGGAGGCGGTTGCTACAGCCCGCTGGGTTTTATGGCTGTGCCACACGGGGCACCCACAAGAAGGCAAAGCAGAGCCCGACCCGGGCCTTCAGGGGTCAGCTGGCCCAGCGGGGGTGGGGAGGGGGGTAGGGGCGTGTGAAGACAGTTGGGCCTAGCTCTGGCTCCATGCACACTATGTGATCTTCACTGCAGTAAAAAAAGCAGACAGAGCCCCTGCCCCTCTTGGCTTTCGGGAATCCACGGAACCCCCGCCACATTCTAGCTACGCCGTGAGCGCACACAGCCGTCTTGGAAAAGGTGAGGAAGGGACCAGGGGACAAAGGGCAGACTCGAGACATCTCTCACTCACCAACCCATCTCATCAGGGAGGTCAGGATCTGCAGGTACTTGGTCTTCTGGACGTCAAAGAAGGTGAAGGGTCCAAGGAGAAGAGTGAAGACAGCCTGGGTGACAGAAACAAGGGTGAGGGGGTGCCGGGGCTGGGCGTACACAGCACACACCACGTGTGTGGGGAGAACACGCCATCCACGCAGCCTCTGCCCGCGGGGGCCGGTCCTAACTGTGCTGTGAACCTTGACTGGCAGAGGCTCCCCAGGGGCAAACAACATCATGTGGGGAGCTCCCTGGGGTGCAGGAGAAATCCAAAGCCGTGCTTCGTAGCTGCTCCTCATGCCCCTGGTCCTGAGACAACTTTCTGGGCCAGGCCCAGTCAACACCCCAGGGACATCGCCTGCTACTTCTCTTCACCAAGTGCTGAGGGTTCCCAGGCCCGGCACAGAGCTGGTCACGAGCCCCAATTAGGAGGTAATCAGCAAGAAGATGAGGATCTAAGAGGAACCCAGGCGCGCCCAGCGCCCCGACAACACAGGGCAGTGGAGAGATCACTGCTGTGCTCCAGTGGAGAGATCACTGCTGTGCTCCAGCGTTCAGAGAGGATCGGTCGGGATGTCGTTAATCAGCAATGTTTAGGACTTGAGGAGGGTAGGCCTGGAGAGCCAGCAGCTCTAGGCTTCCAGGGCAAACCTCTCAGAGGACTATCCTGAACCAAGAAGAGAAAGGGCTGCAGCCAGGAAAAGTGGGAGCTGAGTTTGGGGCTCAGGGCTCTTCCCTTTGGAGAACAGGAAAAACTGTTTACTTAGGGAAAATAAAGATTCAAACCCTATCTTAGAAAACCAGTCTGTGGGGAATCTGAACCCTCTCTGCAAAGGAATATGGGGGTGAACCTGGCACAGCAGAGCTGGGCTGGGGGCTAAGAGAAGGTTAGGATTTTCATGCCAAACTGGCTGCTCAGGGAGCAGAGAAATTAAAAGCTGCTGGTTGGCGTTACGATGATGGTACCATTTCCAATCTGCCACTCGGAAGCAGCAGAGGCAACAGACCTTATTAACATTTACACTGCGCCATTTTATCACGTTAATGCTGATGACACTCGCCAGAGGTGCAGCAGGCGGCGGAGGCCTGAATGTGGGGAGCAGGGCCCACTATGGGGAGTCGGGCTCTGGCCCTGTGATCTGGGGAGGAGGCATCGCAGCTGCTCAGCTTGGCGGCCAGTCCCCCACTCCCTGGCTCTCCCGTGATAGGGTGACAGGCAGGCTGTGCCCATTCCTCCCCTGCCCCCATCCACAAGGAGAGTGGGAAGTGGGAGAAGCTGTGATCTCTTATCCAAGTCCATTATCACTGTGAGGATGACACCAAAGACTAAAGCACCGCTTAAGGAGAAGGCTCTAATTAGCTGGGGGCCAAGGCCTCCAGGCAGGCTCCAGGGCTGGGAGGCTTCTGGAACTGGCTTTCTGCTGGGGGCCTGGAACTAGCAATCCTTTAATGAGGAGGGGAAGCGCCATTAAGCTAGGGGTGCTGGGGGCGGGGTGTGTGTGTGTGTGTGTGTGTAGAGAAGAGGGGCAGGGGAGACCGGATGCCCTGCAGGCCAGACTCAGTGAGGCAGAGTCAGCAGCTCCATACAGCAGGCCAGCACGTAGCACCATCAGCCTGCCTTTAGGAAAAGAACCACTTTAGGGAAACTTCGACAGATTTCTTTCTTGAAGGGTTAGAGAGGAAGAGGTCTTAGGGAAGAATACATACACAGCCACTTGCCACAGATGTTTCCAAATTACCGTGGCTTGCTCGAAACTGGACTCCTGATGTGTGGGCAAGTGTGGGTGCTTCTCCTCCAATCTGCATGCCCACTGTGCACGCTGGATGGTTTCTTAGGGGCAGCGTATGTGGGAGGTTGGAGCTCATCTTTGAAGCCTAAAGACAGTTTTCAGAAGGTTCTACTATGTAAAACCAAGGCTGGGGGTTGGGGGGTGGGTGGTGATACAGCAGAATCAGCCCTGAAGGGAGGCAGGGAATCCTGCTACTCTAGTAGCCTGCCAGGTCCTTTTCCAGATTCCAGATCCATCTTCATCCTCCTCCCCAGCAGCTGTTTACCAAGATCTTTCACACAAGAGGACACATTTTATAAAACCCTGTAGGGGTGGCATCCAACCCCCCAAGAACTTCCCTCTTTTTAAAGACACTAACCACACAAGCACATCTGAGAAAGGTCGAGTAAGAAGTGTATGTGAGATGCCATCTGAGTGGTGGGGAACAGGAGTGGAGAGGGGCTCAGGAGTCTCCACACCTGCTTGGCCCTCCCATGTCCTGTTCTAGGGATGGCAGTGGGGACTGGCAGCGGAGGGCTCTTTTGGAATATTCAGGCAACAGCTATGACACCCACAGTGGGACGGTGGCCGGAATATAGTTTTAATGCTCAGGAGTGCAGACTGACCACATCACTCCAGAAGCGGGAAGTGCAGGGCCTGCCTGGTCAGAGCAAACGCGCACACACTGCCAAACAGCAGCCCTTGCACGGCTGCTAGCTCACACACTGGAGGGAGCCCAGACCAAGACACACAGCACAGGCTGGGGCTAATTAAGGAACAGGTGTCCTCTGCAAATTAGTTAGAGCCAGACTCGGCGCCCGCAGGGGCCAGCATCCAGAGCCGGAAAGGACGCCGCGGTGCGGCTGCCAGGTCTCTGGGAAGAAAGGGGGCATGGGAGGAGAAACAGCCCCCATGTTCCCATGGTCTAGCGGGGATGGAGTTCATCTTTGAATGCTGAACAGCCAAGCGTGGCACCTTCTGTTTTCCCTTTCCTTTTTCAAAAAGAAGAGATAAAAAGCCAAGAGACAGCCTATCCTCTTGGGTCTTCTCGTCTAGCCTATATGACATTATAAATTAGCTGGCTCCTGAGCAATGGTCCAACCCCCAAATGCCATTGATCAGTTCAGACTCAGCCTCTGTTCAAGGACTCTTGGAGCCCAACTCATTACAGGAGGCAGGGACAGCAACTGTGCAGCCAAACGGGTTCCGGAAAAAAAAAGAGAAGTAAGGAACGATTCTTTGGTTTCTAATGCAATCTTCAAATTGGTCACTGGGAATGAATGATGTCTGAGACAGACCCGGGAGGGTGCAAATGGGGCCGCTCAGGTCTCTTCTCGGGTCAGTGAGTTTAAATGTGCACCAAAGGCCCCATGGCAACCTTGCCAGTCTTGGTGGACACAAGGCAGCTCACATTGCTAAGGCACCGCCAGCAAGGCCTGGGCACAGCTTTTACAGTGTCCTGGTGGCACTCCGAACTTAACGCGGCGTCTACAGTGCCATCCAGCTGCTTCTCTCCTGTATCCCAGGCAGGTTAGGCACACTGCTCACCTCCAGCTGCTCTGGCTCTGAACTCCCAACCACCTCGGACTCCTTTCTCACTCTCTGTACTAGTATCTGTGACTGCAGTAACCTGGTGGCTTAAAACCACAGAAATACATTTCTTACGATGCTGGAGGGGAAATGGAGCACACAGCATGGGCTCCTGACCTTGCCTGGCTGGGGCTGTGCTGGGGTCACTCAGGGGAACATCGACAGAGAAAGAGATACCTCAGGTGAGAGCAATCAGGTAGGCCAAGAGCTGGGGAAGGTTCAGGACTGTGCCATGGGGGCTCTGTCCTGCTCCCTTTGCCCCTGTCCTCTCTTTCCTGGGCCCAGAGCCAGCTGGTCACAGTGTTGTTTCCCACACACCGCCCCAGCCTCCAACCTGTGTCTTTCTTGTTTAATTCTCAAAGGCTTGTCACTTCAGAAATGACAAAGTCCACTGGCCCATGACCTGGTTCCAGCCACCTTTTTCAACCCTGCCCTTGAAGACAGCACCCCCCAGAACCTACTCTCCAGCAGCCCTGGCCTGTGAGTTCCTGACATTGCCCAAAGCCTTCTTACCACTGGGCCTTTGCTTGGCAAGCTCTATTTCTGTTGGCCGAAGTTCTGCTACCAATCCCACTCCCAATCTCCTGTACCCAATTGTTCTCTTCCACTTCTCCTCCCTGGAATCATTCGTGCTTCTTCCAGGAGCCCTCACTGGCTCCGCATGGGCAGCGGCTGCAGCTCCCGCCCATCCGTGTTCCCACAGTGCCCCCCCACTGTAGGGCTGTCCCAACCCCACAAGCCCCGGAGGATAGGAGGAGGCACATTTCTGCCAGAAATGAGACCCAAGGACAAGGGAATAGGGTCCCAGCCCTCTGCCTGCCTGAGGCAGGAAGGGAATCCCCTCCTCAAAATCAGTCTGAGAGATGTGGGAAAGGGGGGTGAGGGCTGTATGTGGGCATTCCCGGGATAGAATGGTGGCTTTGCTGAGTTCCCCAAGGGCAGAGGTGCATGTCCACACGGTGGCTGGCATTGGGAAGCCGAAGGCTTACCCCCTAACTCAAGCTGCCACTTGACTCTTGGGTGCTGTGTGAGCAGCCAGTCACCAACTGCAGAATGGGAGAAACACCTGCTACTTAAGAGAATGGAACTTTCCCCCAGAAAGTCTTGAGTCTGAGCTGCTGAGGGGGAGGCACACTCACTACCTGCCTCCATCTTCTCGAGCTTTAAGCCCACAGCCCACCACGCTCACAGAGCAAAGGTTCCCTCCAATGCCACTCCACCTTGCTTCAGCCAGAAAACGAGCCCTTGGCTGCAGGCTACGCCCTGCGTCGAGGATACAGAATGGGGAAGCAGGAGCCCGTGGGTCGACACGGGAGCACAAAAACGCTCAACGCCCATTTCCCATTTCCCAAATTTCTCTGCAGGGTTAGCTGGTCAGAGAAACAACATGGAAACCTAAAGCTGCTGCTGAGCCTAAACTAAACTCCAGCGGGACAACAGGTCGACAGAGTCTCTGGGTCCCACCCCCTGCCCTCCTTGGCTCAGTGAGCTTGTCACTCCCCTTCTTGTTGTCGATCCCTCCTGCACGTGGCTGTCTTCTGTTTCGTCACATCCACCCCAACCCTGTCTTCCTGCTGCTGGTCCTGTCAACCATGGCCTCACGTCCTCGCTGTCCTGGGGGAACATAACCGTCCAATGCTGCAGGACCCCATGCTCACAAGTGCAGTTTTGTGTCATGTTCTTGGCCATCTGTGAGGCCACCAGGCAGGTGA